AGCTGGACGAAAAGGTAACAGAAATTGTCTAGATGTTTTCATCTCATCATGCTCCCTGTAACTTTAACGAGTTGCATGCTCCAAAATCTTTAGCCTCAACGAGTGAGTGCCGGTACTGTTAGGACACCTAACGAAGAACTGACAGGTCCATGGATCTTTTACGTTCCATTCTGCTGACCAACGCTTGCGCAGCGCCCAAATGCAGGAAGACAGGGGAACAGCTGTTCGTTCCTATCCTTATGCGATTTGGGTAAGTGTATCTTTCGACGATTCCGCTGTGGTCGTAGACACTGTCAAGTTTAATATGGAAGTAGCTTGATGCTACAGCTATTGAGATCATGCACACCTTGACTAGTTTTGAGCTCACTGTCAGCCAGCTCAAGGCCTGTATAGCAGTTCCGCTTTAGAAGTCGATGCATATATCCTTAAAAGAAGCCGCAATTCGCTGAGATACATCTGCTGCTGTCTTAATAGCTGCCACTTCTGCTTGAAAGACACTTTAGTAGTCTGGTAGTCGGAAACAGGCGTTGATTAAAAGCGCCCGATATAATACTGGCCCTCCAGCCCCCCCTTAAGCTTCCATCCATTCGTGAAAAAGGTCACTTCGCCTCTTATCCAGTGACTCCGCTTCATTCATATATCCCCCGATCAGAGATCATGTGTGAAAGAGATATTTTGCTAAGATATATCGATTATAGCAACTCTGGGAAATATTGACTATACTCCTTATTTAAGTCTTTCAAATGTAATATATTCAGGCTGAGTACCTTCGTGTATACAAACGACGCTTTTCCCAATCTTTTTGCTATCGCACCCACAGCATCTAGTAGTTCTATAGTTTTGGCAAGTTCGTGCGTACTTGACGTAGTTTGCCACCCACATCTATACGACGATAGTTTCACATCTCTAATTCGCATTGCGGCAATTGCAGCGTTGCAATTATTTTTAATGCCTTTCTACATGTTACGATTTTTTCGCGCCAATTTCACGTGCTGCCAATTTTTCCAATTGCGCCAATTTTTGTTCAAACTTTTTGTAGTTTTCCACCGCCAATGGCATCTATTGAATATTGTTCGACAAAAAAAATTCAACTACTCGTTGGCGAGCGCCGCTGAGTGTGAAACTCATGTGTGTGTACATTTCTATTGTCATTGATTCGTATTTGTGTTGCGGCTATTGATGCTGCTGCCGGGACTCTTGTTGTCGTTCGTTTCGCATTCGTCGAATGAGTTTTTATGTGCGAAATGCCTGCGGAATGTTATGAGCGAAATAGGAAAAGATGGGTTCGAAATGAAAATATGGCGAGCGTGTGGGCGGTTTGTGAAGTCAAACCAGATGCTAACGGAAGCGCCTGAGGTGGAAAGCAAGAGAACAAGAAATTGACGAAACGGATGAGCGGAAGTACGGAAGTGGTCGTGGCGTGGCTTTGACTGGATGTTGTTTATGTAGAGGTCTAAAAATGGTCTAAAAATGGTGGCAGCTGCAGCTTAAGACGTGAATGCTGCGAGATTTTTATTTGAAGCGCAGATATAGACAAATCAAAGCCAAGTTAATTCAGTCAAGACGAATGCGAAAGCAAAGGAGAATTAAAATGTGTCGTACGAAAACAGAATTTAATATTAACGTATGCAAGGGAATTGATAATGAAAATGGCGAAAATAAAACTTTTATAGAAATATGTGGCTTTTTATGTAACAAGCTTTTATGTGAAAGTTACTGATGAGGTCTGGTGAGTATGGTATGTTGAAAGCTAACATAAGATTTAGTTATAAAACACAGAAGCGGCAAATTAAAGTCTAGGCGCACATAAACAAAGCACATAAAAACGAAAATCAAGTAGTGAATTTCACAAAAATTCTATTTCCATGTGCTTTTTATGCAGCTTAGCGGGTTACTTGCACAAGTACTTTGTTTACATACAAGCTCTCTAAGAGCCTCGCCGCAGCCACACACACTTAGAAATACACATGTTGGCGCAGCTAAATGAAGCTGCTATCAAAATATGAAAGTCACAAAAGGACTTTGCTGCGCTTTCTTCAATTAATGCCGCTGTGCCATGTATATGTAGCCTACTTTTAGGCGCCTGTAAGTAATATGCAACAAAATGCCTTATGCTAAGCTTACTCGAAGCATTTAATTGAATTTGCCGAAGTACGCAAGTCGAAGTGCCTTGGCACAAGCGTGTGGCATATTAGAATTTTTATGATGCCATGAATAAGAGATTTGCATCGAAATGACTGCCGCATTTGCCACCCATTGTGTACCATGAAAAGTATAGCGATGCCTGAATTACTTGGGTGTGGCGAGAATGTTGTTTTGAACAGACTTGCATAAAATTAAATTTTTTTTCTGTTTTTTTGAGAACTTTTAAAACGTGCATTTTTCAGACAAATCCCGTATAAAGTGCCAACTGTGGCTTAAACATTTTTGGAGACTAAGCGTGGCGCCACCTATGGGAATGTGAGCGTTTTACCGCCTACCTTTATTGAAAT